TGGTCGACTTCCAGAGTATCCGAATTGGTGAACAAAATATATTAACAGCGAATTTAGCACCAAACACGTACATATTTTCTTTCATCGATATTTACATATGTATGTATTGTACATACCTATGTATGTATGTAGATAGGCATATTTAACACTTGAGCTATTTTCGGTTGAATCATTTAAGAGAAACTGCACGGGAAATGTTTGAACCATGTATACGAAAAATCTTAATTAGGTTAAAAATTTTGAAGTGTGCGCATTTTTCGTCGAATTTCAACCATTTTCACTTTGTACTCCGAGAAGATCTTGACAAAAGCGATATTGGAATAATAACATTTTTACATTTTTTATACCTTTCCTGGACCTAAAACGGAATGATAACTCTGGTCTGATGTATGTATGTATCAGAATGATGATTTGAGTTGACTTAACCATGTGTGTCCCTCCGTAATTTGTACGCAAACTAGTCTCTAAATTCATCGAAAACGAAAGACTTTAACATATGAGAGCCTAACCCCTTTCGTATCTACAAATATCTAACCCTCCGAGTGTATTTCGGATATGAAATAAAGGCTCCTCGTATTAAAACAAACAGCCCTCCCTCCAATTGATGGGAAAACATCAAGACACAAAGACCACAAATTGGATGAGGGCCTCGGCCAAAAAATCGCTTCAGCGGTTACAAAGCGCCAATTGTACATATATCTATTAGGTGTACAAGTTTGCTTCCGCCGTTTTTTCCAAAATTAAAAGATTTATTGCGAAAAAGGGCTTACAGATATATTATTCAAAGTATTGTCCTTCACTAGCGACAACTTTCTCCTATCTTTCCGGAAATTTTCGGATCCCTGCTCTAAAAAAAGAGTCCTCTTTTGACGCTATCCATGAAGCAATCCATTTTTCCAATTATTCGAAGGATTGAAAATGTTGATCGGCCAGGCCGTGTGCCATCGAATGGAATAGGTGGAAGTCAGAAGGGGCGACATCTGGGGAATACGGCGGGTGAGGCAAGACTTCCCATTTCAGTGTTTCCAGTTACTTTTTGACCACTTTTGCGACGTGAGGCCAAGCATTGTCGTGTTGGAGGATGACTTTGTCATGTCGCTCTTGATATTGTGGCCGCTTTTCTTTTAGCGCGCGATTAAGGCGCATCAGTTGCGTTCGGTAGCGATCTCCTGTGATGGTGTCACCCGGTTTTAAGAGCTAATAGTAAATCACACCGAGCTGATCCCACCAAATACAAATTATAACCTCGGCGCCGTGAATATTCGTTGAAACCACTCCCGACACGTTATTTCACTCAGAGCAGCATCACCGTAAGTTTCTGAGAGCATTCGATGCGCTTCAGCTGCATTTTTTTTTCGAATTGTAACAGAGAAGTAAAACTTCCCGCAAATGGCGAGAATTAGGCACATAAACGGACATTTTAGAGCGTGAATAATACGAAAACAAGAACAACTGTCACTGAGTCGCCGATGACAATTCGTTAGGCACTGTCCACACACACTTTAAAGGCATTATCATATATGTATTTCAACCAGCCAAAGCCGGTACAGCCACCTATCGGGAAACGGCGGAAGCAAAGTTGTACACCTGATACAAAAAAACATTGGCTCCGAAAATCAACGAAAGAGAGAGGATGGCTGAAGACAATTCTTCTTTCTTATTTAATTCTTCCTGATGACATACTAACTTTTACACATTCTAGTTTTAAATACCTCTTATGATGCAGAGAAGGTCTCTTAAAAAAACGCTTAATCTTGATTATTTCCTACATTGAAAACTTAATTTTGTTTAAAACAGAGATATTCAAATGTTTATGCACATTCATGTATTAAGCCCTTACATGGTTTCTGCATGCACAAGAGTAGTATGCATGTACACCCCGTCGTAAAATGTTCAGGCAGACACTCAGGCGGCAAATGCGCATGAGATGCGGGGTTGCTCTTAATTTAAATGGGACAAACTCTTCGTGGTTTCTTGTGTTCATTTCTACTTGACTGCTGTCCCCATTCTTTATGGAGCCCAAGAATGAATACCAAAAACAAAGAGTCGATTTGCACTTGATGCCGTTGCAACTGTTTATGATGAACAGGTTTATGAGCATGAAGTTAACATGTTTGTGACACATATTGTGGTAATATATGAATACCTAAATACTTACATATACATCAAATGCACACGCAGACATCCGTACATCCAACGGATATTGAGCAATAAATCTCAATGTGGATCCATCAGAGCAACTGTTCGTTTGAATTGTGCACCCAAAGGACAACAAAGTTAAAGGAGTAGATACAAAAGATTTGCGAATGCAGGCGCTGCTGCTGCAACTGATAGTACCGAACTGCTATCCTGTTGTTGACTTCGCTTCAGTTCGTTTATAAGTTTGTTTTTGCGTTGCAAAGAATGAGAGGAAGAAAACTTTGGCCCTTCCAAGGCCCGATTTTTGTTGTAAAACAATTAAAAACCGCGCAAGGCTTATAAGCTGTATGAACCGCAATGAGCTTTCTTGTTATTCGTTGTCTTAATTGCTACTGATTTTGTTCAGTCACGGTTCTTTTCTTCGTATGTATGTACATATGTATGTATGTATAGTTTAAGAGAGGACAATTTGTTGCGAAACAACAAGGCCAAGACATAAACGCACTGCATAGATATGTACATATACGTATGCACATGCACTCGTACTTACTACTAACGGGCATGTGCAACCAAATGTGGCATTTAATTTTCACACATTACATACTTTGTTACCAGCTCTGTCCTCAGCCCTTAAGCTCGCTTTCCCATAAGCTAAATGGTGCTACAAGTGGCGAACTCTTCCTCAATGTGGTTGGTACTTCGGAGGACGTTGTTTCAAGCATCTGTTAAAATAACCGTTGGTCTTTTTAATTGATCTATGAGTGGAAGAATTGGTGAACAAAGGAAAATAGGGAAAACTTGCAAAGTAAAGTTTTGCGGCAATTTCAGCACATACACGTACACACATACGAGTGCACATTCCAAAGGAGGCGCACCAGGCGGTAATAATTGAATTAAAAGCGGAAATAAGGCAAAAACCGTTACCACTGACAAGAAAACTAAATTAATTTTTTCCCTCTGAGTTTACACGCAACGAGATACTTTCTGTCGCAATTGAGAATCGTCCAACGGATTTGAGTGGAGTTTAAAGCTAATAAATACAACTCCTTCCATTTGTCCGACAGGTGTTGATCGGAGGAAACTTCCTTGGCACAGCTAGCGTTTGGTAAGCGATAATCCGAGTTATCAGATATTCTATTACTTATTCCTACTCTTTGTCCTTCTTCCAGTTTACTCAGAGTTTCTTATTAAAAAGTTTTTCCTATTTTGAACGAAGTGCAAGACAATTATGACATTCCCTTCATTCACACTTACATTTCTATTTGATTGCACTAAAAGGCCGACAGTTAAGAATAATAGCTTAATTACCGCTACGGCGATACTAAAGCAAAAACTTGTTTAGACACGACGCGCGACAAAAATCATTAACGATCGCTGCCGATTGATTTCACAAATAACGATCAACGAGAAGTTGCCACCACAATTTGAAGTGTGAAAATAAAAAAGATCTGATTTTATTTGGTCAAAAAATCATGTGTGAGTTACATAATTCAATTAAATTGAAATTTTTTGAACAAAGAAATAATTAAACCTTTTTGCCTTTTTTATAAACGAAATATTGCTTTTCAAAGATTTTAGTTTGAAAAAACGCTGTGAAAATATTGGCATCTCAAAAAATCTAGTTTCACTTAATTGAAAAACCAAACAATGCCGATTAGATCTTTATAGTTTTTCAAAAACGATTAATTGAAGTTTTTATTCTGAGTATTTTTACTTTGGAAGATGTGCAAAGGCATGGTCGCTGTGTGCACCTATCGCTCTCAGATTATATTGTCGTGCCATGGAATATGTGTTCAAGCACTCTTGAGAGTGCAAATTTTTAACTTATTAAACATTTGAAAATTATTGATTTCATTCAAGCATTCACCAACTTAAAATATGTACATAAGTATGAATAAGTGTATGTAAATTCATTAGGGGTATTCAATTTTAACTATGCCAAGAAATCTTTGAAAGTTGAAGCCTTAAACCAGCTTACCAGACCACACCTCACAGCCAACAAACTGATTAGGCTTTATCAGTGTGGCTTTAGACTTGGTAATTCCACCATTGGCCAAATAGTCACCACGCGCTAAATCTTGGAAAAGAACCACACCACGAAAAGGAGCTGTCTCTACCCCGCAAAACGTATACGGCGAGGCGTACACCAATATTTCTTGCCAAGAGATGCTACTATGAACTCCTGAAGTTTGTGTCAGTTGATTTCAAACGAAGGGATTTTTGTAAGATTTTTCTTCCTTTGCGTGTAAAAAACGGCGGATGCAGCAACCGATGAGTCGTGGGAGATATACGGCGGCATTACCACAGCTCAGCAAATGAAGAGACAGGGGTTACGCTGGTTAGGTAATATGGTCCGGTTGAATGAGAATACTCTGTTTGAAAGTTTTCAATACAGTACCTATTGAAGGAAGCAGAGGAAGGGAATGACCATCACTCCGTTGAAAATATCGGAACGCTTGGTATTTGGCGCCAAACAGCGTAAAGAAGCAGCACGACAGCAGAAGAAAAAGCAGAACTATAGGTCCGTTATTTTGTTTCAGTGAACATTTTACTTGTTAAATACATATGTACATACGGGAATAGGAAATGCTAATACTATTTTAGTGGGTTGTTTGTAAAACTCATTTAAATAACCCTTTGTTTTCAAAATAGAAACACATTGTACACACATACATCAATGATATGGAAGAAATGGGAGGAATTAATAAAAGTTTTTGTTATGGAATTGCTTGCTTAAACAAATATAGACAAAACAATTTTTTTCATGTCTGTCTATTATAAAAATATGAATTTACTGCACACTTCATAATTGTTCTTACAAGCTCTCGTATGGAATAAGTTTATATACATTCTACTAAATAGATATAAATAGCCATTCACGGGTAGCGAGCTACGGAGTTGTGCAGTTATCAAAAATAACTGTAAGCGAAAGATAGTGCAATTCTCTGAACGAGGTGCTCGGCATTAGCAAATGAAAGATAGTGAAGAATATTACGCGAAATGTCGAAGCAGGAAAGTGAAAAATCGCCAAAAGTCGCGCTAGACAACAGAAATCCCAAGTGGCTTAAGGCTGAACTATTTGAAGGATTACTCAAAGAGACCATACCGAACTATCGAAACGTCAAGCACTTTGAGGTGGAGCCAGGCTGCGCGGCCGGTGAAAATTATGCCACGATAATGCTGCGTGTAAAAATAGATGTGCAATTAAAAGGTCAGCGATTTCAAAATTTAAGCAAAAATCTGCAGTTATTATTTTGTTTTAAATGTAAATGTATCATTTTGAACGTGTAAAGGGTAGATGGTGCAACAAAGTCGGTGTCCTACATGATGAAAGTGCCGCCAGGCAACGAGCAATTTAAGGAAATGATGCGAAAACATAATATTTTCGATGTCGAATATAAGATGTATCACGAAATCGTGCCCGATTTCAACCAGCTGTATCGGAATGTCAATGTAGACGTAAAGTTCTCGGCGAAATGTTACGATCTCAAGACACCTTCGGAATTTGGCGTAATATTGTTGGAAGATCTGCGTCCATTTGGTTACAGAAACGCTGATCGTTTGGAAGGTCTCGACTTGGTACATACAAAGGCGGTGCTAGAACGTTTAGCGCAGTGGCATGCGGCTTCGGCTACACGGGTCGAGATTAAAGGCGCATACTCACAATTGCTTCAGGGAGGTTGGCATAGTAAATCACGACAAGAAGCCATGAGAAATTTCACCATGATAGTTAAGAAACCATTTTTAGACTCCGTAAAAACATTGGAGGGCAATGAAGTTTATATTGAGAGCTTGGTGGGTGATGAAATAAATTATATTTTACATTCATTTTTATTACCGGTACTTACAGACAAAAGCTGTTGATAATATAACCGATGAATTATTTCGCATTGTGTCATGTGATGAGAATGAGTTTAAAGTATTGAACCATGGTGATTTTTGGTGCAACAATGTCATGTTCAAATATGACAGCGAAGGCAAAATCGAAGACACGCTTCTCATCGACTACCAAATGTTAAACTATGGCCCGCCTGCTAGGGACTTGCATTACTTCTTAATGTCATCGACAAGCTATGAGCTGAAAGTAAATTGCTTTGACTATTTCATCGAATTCTATCATGAGAATTTAGTGAAGAATTTGAAGCTCCTGAACTATCCTAAAAAATGTCCTACGTTGAAAGAACTACATATCTCATTGATAAAGAACTCCATTCGTGGTAAGCAGTCTTAAATTTCAAAACTTTTAAAGCTAATTATATTACATGATTTTTTTTAAATACTTTTTTGTTAATTTTTAATATTATTACCGTAATTTTGTTTTACTCCTAGGTGTATTAGCTGCTGTAGGCGTTATGGCGGCTGCTTTGTTGGAGTCCCATGATGATGCAAGTCTCGATGGATTTTTTAGCCAAACAGAAGATGCCGAACGCTTCAGACACATTATGTTCACAAATCCCAGATATCGCAAACACTTGCAAATGCTCCTGCCTTGGATGTACAATCGCGGTGCATTCGAGGTGTGACTAAATAAATTACCCATGGTATAATGATTTAACGTTGGCTGGTCTGTTGAATAACAAGTGTAAAAAAAAGCTGCAAACTGTGTGCAAAATAACTAAATAAATACAAAATTTACAAGAAATTTAATATTCCATATTGGAAACTTTTTAGAAAGTAATTCGAGCTGCGGAGAATAATAGAATTGACATCGTTGATGGGTCCAGTGGAGAGCGACCCACACTGTCATCCCGCTCGTAACTTGGCTCTTTGTTGGTAGTCACTTTAGAACCAGCATTAAGACCTGACACTGCTAGCATTGAAACCGAACGTAGAATTACTCTTGCTAACAAGTTCTACCTTGAACTGAGTAGACAATTGAAAGCAGCTCGGAGTGCATTGCTCAGCTGCTTACTAGAACAAAAACAAATTTCAATTTTGCTTGTAAAAATTCTTTTAGCCTTTCAATGATTTTTACACTTAGCATAAATCAATTTAAAATGACAAAAGAAGTGGTGAGAAATATGTCAAAGATTTTGTTGAAAAATTGTCGATCGATGAGCCTTGACCATATCTCCTTCCATTACTTTATTCACCTTATTACGGTCAGCTCTGCAAAGTTTTGACTTGACATTTACATAATTAATTTATATTTTAGCCAGTTTTAGCGTTAGATAAAAATGTACACATGTATGTATAATGACTTATCGATTTACATATTTACAAATGCTTGTAAATTTCTTATCAAACCTCAATAGAGAATGAAGTAGTCTGGCTTTGAGTTGAGTTCAAAGTAGATAAAATCGTTCATTGCTATTTTTGATAGCAATTTTTCTTATCATTTCTATGTGCCTTCAAAATAAAGAAATCAATAGCTAACCTGAACGACTCATATTAACTTTGAACAGCGAAGAAGGGTCCCTTATTCTTCTTCACAGTTTACGCGATTAAAGCCGAATCAACAATAACGAACCATTCGGTTTTTCTCTTCGTGCTTTAGCGCCAGTTTAAAATATCAAGTTAAGCCCTTCCTCTAATACCACAGGCGAATACTGCTGAGAGATGGTATCTTGTCAGCACTGCACCGCCGTAATTGGATAGCTCGGCGAGTTGTTGTGTTGTTTTTCAAGCGGGCGATTGCTATTCGAACATTTTCTTAGTAGCACAATGAAGCATCTGTTCCATCGCTATCGATTGGGGAATCGGGCTCACCATCTCTTGGTGATCCATTTTCACTACCATTCAGAAGGCTGGAGAAGTGTTCCCTTTACAAGTTTAGTGCACTTTGGGCACCAATCTTTAGATCAGCTGTCTGGGTACTACAAACTCCTGCCTTGAAACATCTTTTAAGTCGGGAATATTTTTGTGCGTTATCCTTGTCTGGTAGCTACTCAATCTCTTCATGTTTTCTCCCCATTGCGGCATTGCAATCCTTTGCTGCACATATGCGAGTGGGAATTTTTGTGGAGTGATCCGAATCGATGTTAGATGCTGCGAACGTAAGCCCTTCATGAGCATTGGATAAATGTCTTCCGTTAGTCACAATATGATCGATTCCTGTACCAAAATCTGGTACTACATACAGACTACCTTTTTTCACCGGTGAAGTCATGGATATTGAATTTTCCGACTGCTGTGTCGAAAATATCTTCTTTGCAGTGCTCAATGCCTTAAATCATGATGCTTAAAACATTTGCAGATTTGGTCACCAAGTATCTTATCCCAGGTATATTTTGATCTTTCATTGGAGTACATATTTCATTTGGTGGTTCCGCATCCATACGTGAAACCTAAGATACACCGAGGTGAGCATCTATTAAAACTATTCAAATCTGTCCTGAATATTAATACTCGTAGAAATATATTTATATAGTATATATATTGCATATCTACTTATGTATGTATATATGTACATTAAAGCTGATAAAGAAAAAATGTACACCGTTTAAGTAATTCATTTAAAACATCTGCTTATACGTCTGAATGTACATACGTGTACTTTTGTCTGTATGTTTCAGCACGCAGCACACTTTCGAACTTGGCCAACCGCATAGCCATTTAAAAGTTGCCTATGCATTTGTTTGTACGAATTTTCCGCACACTTTTACCAGTTCTTGCAATGCGGCAGCAACTCTTGCACGGTTTCACGCGTCGACCAACACTCTGGGCGCAACTATAGGATCAACAAAACAGAGCAAATGGCTAGAAAGAATAAGAGGAGTAAAGAAAAATACTATAAAATGAAAAAAAATTATAAAAACTGTATGTATAGGCGATAGAAAGTGTGTATTAATTACAAATTCCAAATATACAATTATGTAATAAGGAAATCTTTCTTCTGCTTATTGGTAGCACTAGTTCATTGCTGTTGGTCTGATTCAAAAAGTTTATTTTATGTTGAAGTATTGCTTGTAAAATAGTCTACAGGTGTACGAACATCTATTTGAATGTTTGCTTTCTGAAACTAGCCATGGAATCGCTTTTCTTTTTGATTAGCAGGAAGACTACTCTTGTCTCCGGGGCCTGGACCAGAGGCCCATAGATTTCAAAAAAAAATACATTTCCTAATAGTCTTCGTTTGGTGTTAGGTGGACCGATGTATTAGAAAAATGCATGAATATATGTATTTTAGGCTAAGTTAAATATTTTGCTGCAACGCAATTAGGTTGAATGCATCTATATCTTGGAAGAACTGCAGTATTGGACACGTTAAAATATTATCCCTTGCAAAAATGCCGAAATAGCTGGATTACGTCTCCTTCAGTATTTGCTTCGACAATCTCTTTTACCCAAGATTCCGAAACAGGAACGAATGTGAAAGCACGAACGCCCTCGGTCACACATCTTGAGAGACGGCTCAAAGCTTTATGAAAAGTTCTTTGTCCTCGTTCCAATTATTGGGCCATTCTTCGTGTTCTGCAAAAGACCAGAATCAGTCTCAATCTTTTGACATCTGTAGAAAAATCCAGTATTCGGAACGACCACAGTCTGGAGTATGTGGCGAGAGAGGTAAGACCTCCAATTTCAGCATTTTAAGGTAGTTTTTGTGCATTATCTTATTGCAAATACATACACCTTGTCGCTTCTGGCTGTTTTTCGCGCAATTTACGGCTCAAATCCGCTAGATGTAGTCGATAGCGTTCGAAAGCAGAACACGATAACTATTTTTAGCCACAGCATATATGGGATGGCCATACTCTGTAGGCATACGATATTAAAGGATTTTCCATAATAAAATATTAACTGTAGGGCGAAGAAGGTTTATAAGTGGCTGCTCTATGAAATTTCATTTAACTCGGCCTTTGTTGTGATCCACTGTGATCAGAGCCAAGTGTATAATAAATACCGTGTACATAATTATTCACCGTTAAATTAAAAGAGTTCATATACCTTTTTGCGATGAATTGCATTCATTTACTTAACATTTTTCATTGTCTTTGTGAAAATGATTTAAACTAAACTCAAGAGTTTGCTATGAGTACCAAACATAAATATTATATACTCGTATGTATGTACATATGTATATAAACTCCCCATAACAATTCTCCTTTCGAGTATTTGTGCCGATTGTGTATATTTATGCTACATAAATTAAAAACAATGCTTCTACTAAAACAAGAACTTTATCCATTATTGCAGAATATTACTTTAAAGTTGAAAGCATTCCACGCGTATTTCGAGCGAGCAGCAAACGGTTTTAATGTTTGCGACAATACAAATACAAAGCAGAATGAAAAAGTTCACAAGGAGCAGTGATAGGTCCATGTGCGTGTAGATAAAGGAGTGTGAGTGTGTGGGAGTGTGTGTGAGTGTGTATCAGGAGCATCAATTGTCGACAAATTCCTGGAAAAGGGGCTTGCAGCTTACTCTCGGATGGGCACTTTACAATGCATCCAATACTTTCAGATATACATATCCACATATTCGTATGTATGTAAATGTGGGATGTATATATATGTGGGACTTAAGCACTAAGCATCAAAGCCATTTCCACCCAGGGTCACATGCCTGTATGTCGCATACTATTGCGAACGTGCTTTTATGTGTCCCACATCCATTGCTATCTGCGAATAGCAGAATCCCATCCCGGAGTTCCCTAAGCATATCAATGTATAGTATTATATATCGTATATACTAGTATGTATGTATATATGTATGTGTTCAGGAATGTGGAATTGTAATGCTTAAAAATGGGTTTATGTGCGTACGTGTGCACGTTTGCATGTATGTACGTGGGTATGTAAAATGCGCGGCCATGTACGACTACTGCCACGCTCGAGTGATTTGACAAAGGATCAAGATGTTAATTTGTATGAAAATCATACTGACAATGCAAAAATACCCATTGCTGCAACAAAGACTAGTCAAATTAAGAGCATAATAAAACCCTTTTGTTAAGATAAAAAATACTGACTTCATAATGCTCACGTTGAAATGATCTCTGGAGTTCTGCTGCATTTATAGGAGCATGCATAAGTGGGAAACGCAATTTACACAAAATTTGTTTTTATTAGTGGTCGTTACAACAGGAATTTAAAACAAAACCCTAAATCAACAAAAAAGTATGTGAGGACAAACATAATCTGGGTAAACCCCAATATTATATAAACTATTGCTTCGCTTTCACGGGGAAAAGAATTGATTACTGAAAAGTGTTCCAGAATTTCGAAACACCAAGTGCAGTCAGGTCTTTTCCACCACATCTCTCCGACGGAGTGGACGTCTCTTTCTTCTATGGCACGGATTGCAAGATCCCCTTTTTTATGGATCGGGCGGAGCATAGTTAGGTTTCCATCGTTGTGCTGGCTTTCGTCTGACCACATTCTACAAACAAGCTGACGAGTGACCTTGTCACGGCGCATTTGAATAGCACGGCCGGCAATCTAACGGCCTCCACCGCCATGTTGTTTTACAAGCGGGCAATTGCTATTTCAATTTCTTCAAGGTCGGCCAATGAAACATCTGTTCCATAGTCATCAATTGGGGCTAAGGGTTTGCCATCTTCTGCTGCCCCGTTGTCATTGATATTAAAAAAGCTGCATAAGTTTGCTATTCATAAATTCGGCATACTCGGGAAACGTTGGGTCGGTACTCCAAGGTTTTGCCTTCTTGAAACATTATGGTAATCGCCGCATCTGTTCGTAGAATTT